ACACACACACACACACACACACACACACACACACACACACACACACTCACACACAACATATATGTACTAAAATTATCAGATTTAAGCATGTCAACGGCGTGTAGCGGCATCCCAGCATAATTGTCTCAAAATAGTAAAGTGCCTGTCCCATTTTTGCTTCTCTTCTCCATAATTTAGTGGTAGCATGCGTGTGATAAATGAATGGATGTATGATTTTAATTGATATTTTTTCGTATTAGTGGGGAGTGGTCCTGCACACATACACACAAAAAAGCATCGATCACAAGATGGAAAAAATGAAAGAAACATAAAAAAAATATATGCATATATATTTTTTTTATAATCTGTGCAGGGACCGTATCTGTGTGAAAGCTAGCCAATTGATTATTGTGTTAAAACTTATTAAAAAATAAAAAAAATTTGAGCGCTGCCTTTATTGAGACAATTATGCAAGGTTCGCTAATAATACATGTATACATGTATATGCAAATTATTAAAATTATTTAATATTAATTAAATGATATATGGCACACAAAATTGTCCTAAATATGCTAAATAAAACTTAAAAAAATATAAAAATAATTAAGACAAGCTTTCACAAGTAAGGCCTCTGCGAGTAAAATGCAATCATTTTAAGTAACAGATTAGTATTATTTATTCAATACAGTTTTAACTTAATAGAGGCGGAAAATGGATGGATGTTAAAATGGATTAAAAAAACAGAATTTTTTATGTTAACATACATTGTAAGTTTTATGAAAAACAAAGTATTAAAATAGTGTATTTTAAACAGAAATCATTTAAACTGGTATAAACAATGTCAACCACTTCACTTTTTACATAGGCCTTACAACATTTAAATTAATTTAATTATTCATTCAATTTTCACGGAAAAAAAAGAAAAAAGAAAAACAATTTAAATATATGCTTTAGTTAAAATATTAACTTAGGAACTTAATACGTTTAATATTAGTTTAAAAATAAATGGAGAATTTTTAATTAAAGAAATTAAGTTTACAGGATATTAAAAAAAAAAAAAATTTAATGAGGAACAATACATTCTATAAATTAACTAACAATAATTTAGACACTCACCGTTTCACAAACTTGGATGATATTTTAGAAAAGAATGATGGCCTTTGTACATTTGGATCATGTGGGCTGCCAGTATTATTAGTAGGTCCAACACCAGCATATGCTCTATGTCGGTTTTGACCTGAATGGAAAGTCTGACGACTAGGCACATTCCTGGGGAATGGTTGTCGACTATTGACTGCTGGTGATGCTGGTGAAACTGTTACAACCCTAAAAAAAAAAAATGTATTATTTTAGGATTACTTATTATATATTAATATAGTTATTGTTTATTTTATGTACATTTACAAATACACAAACACTTGAAAGCACAATGTCCATAACATATTTTGATGTTATGATAAAACTAAAAAACTGGTTATAACTGTTTATTTTACAATAAATGTCATACATTTACCACAATCATATCAAATTAAATTTTAGTAGATAAATATATTTTATATTTGAAAGTAAACTATAAAATAATATTGTCTGTTCGTACAATATTTAATTATATTACCAACAAGACAATATTTTACTTACAAAAACGCAAAATATAATTTCATTTAAAATATTTTCCAGTTTTGAAGCAATAATATCATTTATCAAATCATGTTTGATCAAGAAGTTTATTGCATAAGATGCAAATTGATATGAAGCTATTTAAAATGACAAATTATTTATTTTGTCTTTTTATTTTTTAAGTAGAGTTAAAGCAGATAATATACAATCAAGCGAACTCAACTAAATAATAATAATAATAATAATAATTTTTTTTTTTTAAGTATTTATTTATATAAAATATTTGATAGTTAAATGATAAACAATAAAAATATATACTTTCAAAGAAAAATAAAACTTATGGGTACATAATTTATAAAATATTATTCTTTTTAAAAAAAAAAAATAATGTGAACAATATTGTTACTTTAGGATAGTTAATTTGTTAAGTATAAATGGTTAATTAGAATTTAAAATATTAATCATAGTAAGCATTTTTAGTCATGCAATAATTTATATGTATATTTATATGTAGAACAATCACAAATACATGCACAAATAGTAATATCTATCGTCATAGGCTATATAGATATTTAAAACTATCTTAAAATAACAAGAAGCAGCATAGTTCATACGACTGAATGCATTTTGAAGTAAAATCCTATCCAAAAAGAATATTTTTGGAGCACAAAACTTTCACAAGTTTTCAAATATTAAACATATGCATACAATATACAACATGCATTTGATACAATCTAAAAGACAAAATAACATTCTAGCCAGTTATAAAATGTTGAATGGGAGGAATACCTCGGGTGGGCAGGAGGTTCTGTGGCATGTTCTGTGGTGCTAGACACAGAAGCAGATTTGACGTGACCTTTGGATCGTATATCTCCACATCCAGAACCAGAATTAGGTACAGCCAACGCACTAAACCCGATTACCAATGCATTGCAAACATTAATTCAAAATCATCTTACCACCAATAATGAACAAAATAGGATGGATGAATAAATTGTCATATTATAATAACAGAAGATTAATCAGTGTTAAAGTGAAAACATAAATAAATAGTTATTTTACAAATTTATGTGTATGTGTTTATTAATGTGTAAATCAGTGCAATTATTGTTCATAATGTACCTTGCGGGATCCATCACAGGAGGTGGGGTTGATGCAGCTGTTTTTGCATCATAACTGATTGTACTCCTTCTACCTACTGATCCTCCTGGAGCCATTGACCGTGGTTTGGTTCCTACAAAAAAATCCAGGATTAGGATTAGAATAAATACTGTTGGACTTATATTTTATCAATAGATGTTATTTATATAATTTATTTAATCTTGTTATAGAATTATAAAAAATACCTATAATATTTTCAGGTCTAGAGTTTAATCGGGCTGTATTTTCTTTTATACTAGCTGCATCAATAGTATTTTGACGTTTGAAATTTGTGCTTGGAATGGCCACATTGTGATTGTGATTGGTCGAATTAGTAGTACCTAAAAATACATACATATTTTCAGAATATTACAACAACAAAATCAAGTTTTTTGGTATTTAACTGTTAATGGGAAATTTATATAACTTGATTATTACTTGTTTTATTTGTAGAGTTATGTGTTGACTGTTGATTGTTTGACGTACTATTATTAGCAGTAACATTACTTGAATTTGGATGATTTGGGGTTAATGCAGAAGTCTCACCACCAGATGAAGCTCTTCTGTTAGGTTTGGAATTGGTAGCAGATATCGATCTGTGCACACCCCGATGGGATGGAGATTGATTTGTATTATTCACAGCCACAGCATTGTTGGTATTATTTACACTAGGATTAGGTCCAGTGATTCCTCTAAGGGATAATGAACTACCAGATCGAGAACCATCACTTTCAGGCTACACAAAACAATGGAAACAATGAAATTTTAATCGTTTTATATTATAATTAATAAATAATTTATTTTGTAACTTAAATACATACATCATTATTTTTTCTTCCTAGTAATAAATAAGTGGCAAATATGTCATCATATTTGGCTTGAGATAAACTTTCTTCTATTTCTGCACGACTATAACCCATACCAACTAATATTTCTGTAACACGACAAACTGCAACGATTTAAATTAGAAAGTACTTCAAGTATCTTACAAGTAAAATGCTCAAAGTGAAGGAGATAATAATATTAATATATCTTTCATAAGCCAATCATCTTTAAGAGCACGTTATTTATAATAGAAACATACCTATTCGTTTAGGTTCTTTGAAATCTTGTTCTGGTTCTACATAAGGTTTTAATTCATCATCTTCGCAACCCAAATTCATCCATTTGTCTTTCATAATAACCTATATAAAATTTTAATAAAAATTAACACATCAATTTGATCAAAGTGAAATTTGAAAAAAATCAACTTCTAGCATAAATTTCTATAGAATATTATTATTTAAGTTGATATATGTGACTAATTACAAGGTCAGTTTTACTTTATCTTACCTCTAATGACGCTCTTTTAAGTGGATTTAAAACGAGGAATTTTTTTAATAAGTTTTCACAGTCTGTAGACATGTAAAATGGTATTCTATATTTGCCACGTAATACTCTTTCCCTCAGTTCTCTCAAAGTAGAACCATCGAAAGGCAAAGAACCGCTAACCAAAGTATACAAAATAACTCCTAATGACCAAACATCTACTTCTGGTCCATCATAACGCTTCCCTGTAATAATTAATTTGAGTTTTAAAATGTAAATTTTTATCAATAAAATAGGTTACCTTGGAATAATTCAGGCGCTGCATATGGAGGACTACCACAAAACGTGTAAAGTTTACCACCCGGAGTGAATTCGTTACTAAAACCAAAATCTGCTATTTTAATGTTCATTTCACTATCCAATAATAAATTTTCAGCCTAAAACAAGAGTAATTATATACATCATCAAATCAATAATAATTCTAGTGTTTAAATTCAATTACCTTTAAGTCTCTGTGTATGATTCTTTTTTGATGGCAGTATTGAACTGCTGAAACAATCTATAAAAAAATATATATATATATATATATTCACATTAATAAACATTTTAAAATTATAATATTATTATGTTTATCATATTATGAAATTTGTCTATTTATCGCGTACTTGTCTAAATTTGGCTCTTGCTTCTTTTTCTCTCATGCGTCCATGCAGTACCAAATAGTCAAACACTTCACCTCCACTAGCATATTCCATTACTAAATAAAGTGTTTTTTCTGTTTCTATAACTTGAAGTAATTTAACTACAACAAATGAATAAAAATAATGAATATTGAACTTTGAAAAAATGTTTCAAATTAAATAACAAAATAACAGTCGAAATTGTATCGATTAATAATTATATTTATTACCTATATTTGGATGGTCCAACATTTTCATTATTCTAACTTCTCTAAAAAGCTGCAAAAAAAAAAAAAAAAAATAGTTACATCTGTATATTTTCATAAAAATAAAATTATAATGACATACTTTTTGTAAACTTCCGGGTAACAATTGTGTTTTATCAATAATTTTAATCGCGACCTATAAATTTTTGGAAAAATGACAAATTAGTATCACATATACTACTTTATATTTTCCATCAAATGTTATATTTACCTCTTTCCCGGTAGGTACATGTTTGGCTAATTTGACTTTGGCAAAATTGCCTTTGCCAATAGTTTTGAGCAGTTTGTACTTGCCGATATGTGGCTCTTCGGATGATCGACTGCGGGACGATCCACGTGTACTTGTTACCGCAGAAGCACTACTGCCCCCTCCTCCAGTAGAACTATTATTGGTCGCTGCATCACTACCCTGTAAGAACAAAAAGAAAACTTTTGTTTAAAACATTAATTGAAAACAAATAACGAAAAAAATGTCAACACGTTTCAATGAAAACCAAATTTTTACATCCGGCTCACATTTTAGTAAAAATATAGTTTTTATGCCTCGAGGATGTACATTTTACTACAATAGACTTCATTGTGCATACAATTAATATCTGTACCCATATTCATCGAGAGGATATTTTTGTAAACTACTGCGTTATACCTACAACACTTTTTTTCCGCATTAATTAATACCGGATGGTGTACCAATGCGAATGTTTTCCCGTCTAGGATTATTTTTCGCGAGTTATACATTTTGGAAAAAAAAAAGTGAAAGTGTCTTGTCAAAATAAGATCTGTGCTACATACACACAACGGTGGTACCTGAAAAGCGCTTGTGCTACATATTAGCAAACACGATTACCACACACGCAGTATATGTTTTAATTACGTCACACACAGATACACTTACAGCACGGATTTGTTACAATACAGACAGAGCGTGTAGCGTAAATTGGCCTACCTATTTACAGTATTCTCACAGATAACAACGGTATGAAGTATAAAAGGAGAAATAAAATTAGTTATATTTTTAACCAACATCGGCTGTAGACAATCGGATGCATAAATCGTATAACGGACGGTTAATTTGGTCGAATAATGGAACTATATGTCGTCCGCATCAAATATCATGCGATAATTATCGATATCACACTGTAGTACACACCCGTAAATGATACACGGTAATGCGTAATTGTTCGTAGGGAATGTTTAGACTCATAGGGTGCCTGGAATAGAGCGAATACACTGAAACGATACTAATCGCAATTTGTGCCACTGAAAGGAATTAAACCGCTTGGAAGATAGCGAGGCGTAATTAAATTAGACACCCGGCAATAAATCCTAGGACCCTTTAGTTTTAGAACAATAAAATTAAGAGAAACACTAAGATGTTAAGCTGCAGTCGTCTAATTTCCGTGTTATAACTAATGTGAAGCGAGAGGATTGCGTAACATTAAGGATTCAATTTGATCCGTAAAAATGGAGGAAAATATTCTTACATGAAAACACACTCCGGCGGCATTATTATTTCTATCTTTTATCATACATACATATATATATATATATATATATTGATGTAATACAAATAAAAATAATACTTATAAAAGAGTGGAGGAGCATAAAGAATAATAAACTCCGGAGAGTTTTTCAATGGATTCTATGAACTGTTAAATGTGGTCAACACGTGAAAATGTTTTTTACAATTTTCATTTGCGCATACACTATTGATGATTCGATTTTGTTAGTTTTCATAGCTGAATGTACAGGAACATGACGATAAGATAAAGGCTTGCCATGAAAATCAGAATATTTAGTTTTTCCTATGTTCCGGCGAGATGGATGACTTGCGAATGGATATAAACCCGATTATTATTATTTGTATATGTGAATTAATGAAAAATTATCTTATAACGACCGAAAAAAACTTTCAGAAAATATAGTTATTATTTAATCATTATATGGCAAATGCGCCTTTCGATGTCCTTCAATTTTCAACGTATACCTGTAACTCGTGACCAGTGACAAAATTATTCCTGAGAAACTGTAATTTAACAGTGTGTTGCATACACGCTGTGCAAAACGAAATTAAATATACACGCACATACACGAGAAGGTATATGTATATTATATTACTATATGTTACTGCTATTACCGTTTGGTGTACGTTTCGTTCGTTAAGTGTAACGTGAACCCAAGATAAACGACAATGAACGTATAAAAAATAAAAATATGTAGTCAATTTTAACATAATTTAATAATTTCCTTCAAGGCGATACACACGTAGGTCGTAAGTATACGGTCGAGTATATAAAGAAAATAACGTTACACGATCTCGCTTCGCGCTCGTAGTATAAATACACTTACGTTACGTAGCACGGTTAATAGATAACGAATAACAGTAAAACACTAATTAGTAATTTATAACATAACAATATAACACACGTTAGTACGTATGTGGGCCGCCGCATGGGGCAGCAGGCGATCTGAATGTAATAATAACACGAAAATGTTATACGTAGTTATTATATACACGTAGGTGTACATTACGTTAGTTATACATTACATTACGTTGCCGAAGAATTCGACTTACTACCACGGTATGGTATCTACAAGTGATAGCTCTTAAACGTAACGTAACTGGACATTGCATTTTTTTACTTTTGTAGAACATTACGCTAACGAATATATACTGGGTATTATTGTTACACCGCTGCCGACTGAAATGCATACAACTAACTGGTAGACGTTCGATCGCAATAATTATTAATCAACGTTCGTATCGTACACGGCACAGCCACGATTGGAAAAGGTCAAGTGCTGCGCGAGGAAAGGTGTCGCGCGAACGACGACGAGAGGAGTCGACCGCGTTCGCAACGACTTAAATGGTCACAGGGACTCGTTTTACGAAGAATCGGTGGACGGGGAAATATATTAAAGAACTATTAGTCACGACAATACATACATATATATTTATACACAATATCTATACGTGCATGCGCTCTCAGCCGAGAGAGCACGTCACGAGTCGAAACAACGACGCGACGAGTCTTTTATGGAGATTCCAACGGGTCGCGCGCACGCGTCGCCGTAAAAAGCTTCCGTGACGTGAAACACGCTGCTAACTCGCGGACAATTCAAACGAATCAGGTGCATCGAGCACGTACGCTATACTTATCAAGTGGGCCGCACGAGAACGCGATGATTACAGTTGTCCGCGAAAAGCCACCATTACGCGGCGGGTCCGTCTGAAACGGGGAACGAAAACCGAGAGTAAACGGTTAACGGCTCTCGATTTCTGGTTCGTGTTTGGGTCCCCGAACGGATAATTGTCTTCGTTTAGAAGTACGTTGCGTCCCGTTCGTCGTCACCGTACCCCGTAAAACGCGAGGAGACGTTACATTCTATCGTATTGCCGCGGTGGCTAGATAGACGTCTCTCGAATGCGTGAAAGTCTCCCGTGATTTCCGACGATTCGATGAACCGGTTACGGTTTTGATACACCGCATATTATAGGTGTTCGTCGGGTATTTCTGCGACGCGTATCTGTACCGTGAAATTACGTGCGCGCGCGCGCAGCGTGAAAAACGAGGCGAACGGTAGTAAGGCGAATACAAGCAATCGGAGGCTATTACAATATTGTATTGCGATCGTGGGCATGTCGAAATCCGTTGCCGAAAGACCTGTTGCGCGAGGAAAATGCGTAAGAAAGGAAACGAGGAAAAAGACGACGACGACCGCGGGACGAGGCGGCGGTCCGGAAACGCTTTCGTTTGACGGGGAAAACAAGCGGCGGCGGCAGCGAATAATAATAATAATAATAATACCGGCCGAACGCATCGAGTCATCGTTATCTGCACGGGCGCGATGGCGGCCGAATGCGTGGGCAGCATATTAACAGTGCCGTGAGATAAGAAAAAAAAATAATAATAACCGCATGCGTGTCTGCACAAAAATAGTAGTGATATCGTTTATGTTAACGATCGGCGCTTAAAGTTTTAACAATTTTTCGTCGCGACCAACACGTGAGCACAGAACGAGATCTTACGTCTGCGATGAATACGCCGCCACTGACGGATGAACTCAACAGTAGTTGATTTCGATTACCAATATTTTTTTCGCATTACACAATTCGTCACAAAAACTATTGAAAGAACACGTTAAACACATGTGATATAAAAATTTACTATTTCGATGTAAAAACCGTTTTGGAGCGTTATACAAGGGTGGCAACAATTGTTCTTCCGCGTTTGTACGCGTTGGGAAAAGACGCACCACGCGAAAACGTAATAAATATAATATTACAATACTCCTGGTACTCGGTGGTATCTGTTTACCGGTACGATGCGTTACGCAAGAGTATTGTTTCGTTTTTTCAACAAGATAGTAATATTATTTCACACAACACAATCATATAGTATTATATCGACGGCGCGACGGCCGAAATTTCGCTTCACACAACGGTTGCTGCTCCCTTCCCCCGGTGATCCGAATATATGCCGTCATCGCGCACCGCGGCGTTCGACCTCGTTAAAATCGCAACTGGTTTTCATTTATTTATTCGCTCCCCTTCGTCCCCCCCCCAAAACCATCCATGCAAACTTCCTAGTGTAACACAACGTTATACTGCTACATTATCGCTTTTCGACCGATAAATTACGACGACGCGACGATAATATAAATAATATATATATAGTTTATAACTATAAAAGTGGTATATGTGTACACATTCATATTATTTATGGCAACGTACCGTTAGCGGAGACGATGACGACGACGACGAAGATGACAACAATGAAGAAGACGATGATGTCCGTATGCCACGACATCGCACGTAAATACAAGTGCTCATGTTTTTATACGACGATCGGCGACCGTGGCAGAATGACGGAAAGAGGACGAACGAGCCGCGACGGCATAATTTATATTATTTTATGCACACAAGATGTGCGCGGGGACCGACTTGATATCAGTTTGTATATGTATATAATATTATCGACGATTATTTATACGAAATGAGGAGAAAATTCTTCGTTACCGTTTCGTAATCGCCGGAAACCGTGGTCGTCACAGCAGCACTAGTCACAGAACAACAACCGAACACGAGACTACGACGAGTGATACATCCGCCATCAACGATGACGCCATGACCGTGGTCGTTCCGTAAAGTAAAATCCGTAATTAAGAATTATATTTTCGATAACGGGAAGGATGAAAAAAAAAAAACAATTGGTCGGGTGTCAGTAACGAAGAGCAAATAATGAACACGACGACGAAAACGATAATAACATATTATCGAAATAAAAATTCGATTTTCGGCACTGTAACGACGATATCATTACGTGCGTGCGCAACCTGTCACATTTACGTGTGCGTGTGTGTGTGTGTGTTTGCAGAGTCAAATGTATGAAATATGATGTTATTATT